TACCAAAAAAGAAAAGAAAAAGCAAGTTATAGGCATAGTGGTACATGCCTGTAATCTCTGCACTAGAGAGGTTGAGGAAGGAGAATTATAAGTTCCAGCCAGCCTGGACTACACAGAGAGACCTGGTCTTCAAAGTAAAACAAAAGATGAGGTATAGAAGAATGTGGGGAGAGGATATAGTTGAGGCAAGAATGCTCATGTGAGAAATCTTGTGTGGAGTGGTAAAGTGCAGTGAGTTATGTAGCAGAGTCAGTGGGGTCATGAAAGGCCTCTCTACCTGTGCTGAGGAACATGGATTTTAGCCTCTAATCCAGCAAGAGTGGTAGTATTCATTTGTCAGGCATTCTTCCATACAATTCAAAATATATTGAAATATTTGACATGATTGAAAGTATGTACAACTTCAGTTGCCTTAATTTCTGAACATTATTGGTTGACTTAAATGAGAGTGGGATCTGTGGATTTGTATTAGAGGAAGCAGACTGTACTTAGTGAAAGAGATACAGGGGAGTGAAAGGGAAACAATGTATGCACTATAAGTTGGGACTTCCAGGGTGAAAGGAAGAAGGGTAAGCAGGGTCAAGGATAGTTACAGCACCCATCCTCCAGAGGTTCTAGCTCTTTCCTAATGCTCCTTTTTTCCAGGGCCATTCCATAGCACATCCACTGTGGATGACCACAGAGGGCCCTTGGTTGCTCAGATGATTTTCATGTCTCTGTGGTTTCCAGTACCTCCCTCATCCCCATGCTTATATTTATTATCTCAGCCTGAAATCACTTTCCAAGAACCCCTTCTATCATTCCTCTTTCCTCTCAGTGCACCATGCCGTCCAAATGTCTGCATCCTGGAGAAGAGGCCACTGTCTAGAGTCCAGGTCAAGCTACTTCAGTCACAGAGCTGTTTTCTTTCTGTTTGGCTCTGGATACAACCCTTCAGATTTTTCCCAATAACTAGAAGTTATATGCCACATCTGTCCTTCCCCATATATTTGTATATGTTTTTCTGGCAGTTGTCTCACACCCTCTACCTTTTTTCCTGCATCTTTCCCCATTATTTTCATCACTACTTGAGTACTCAAATTCAGTGCTTTCCACAAACACTTGCTTACCTGGCTAGGATGGATATTCCTGTTCTTTTTGATGCTTTGTTTTGTTTTGACAGGGTCTCGCTATATAGTTCATGGTGGCCTTGAAGTCACTGTTTAGCCCAGGCTGGCCTGAGACTTGCCTCCTCCTACCTCAGTCTCCTAAGTACTGGGATTTCAGGTGTGCACCACCACACCCAGTGAGATTTCTATTCTTAAACACAACAGGTGGATGTGTATATTAAGGGAAACTTTAGCAAAACAATTTTGAACATTTCCCTAAATCCTTATAAGTCTGTATCATAGACACTTTGGCCCAGTAGTTCCACTTTTGAGGAGGTCCTCAGTAGATAGATGCACTGAAAATTCTAAGCAAGGATATTTACTACTGTATTATTCATGCCAGAAACAGTTAGAAATGAACAAGTTGTTCATAATGGGAAAAGAGTACAAACGTGAAACTTAAAAGCCACATACCAAAATCTTAATAGTTGTTATGTCTGGATATCTCTGGGGTTATCTCTGTTTATACCTAGAGTACCAGTGATTTCCTTTTCTTTTTTTACCTATTCTACTTTTTATAATGTGGCTATAATATAATCACATAGAAATTATCAAAATTGAGATTTCCAGCCCTCTAGGCTGAGCATTGTACAATTCTCCCTAATGGTATATGCACTCAAGCATCATTCACAGCCCTAGACGCTGTCCAGAAACTTCCCTGGGCTTATCCAGTTCCCTTACTAGTGTATGATATGGACTTTCCTTCTCAACTTATGGCAGTGCACTTCAACCTTCTACCTAAATAAAAATGCTACAGTTTTTGTCACATTTGTTACACAAATTGATGCTTTATTAAGTGGTGCCCATGGCTTTAAAAACTAAAGTGAATTAACCCACTCTACAAAATACAAAATGCTATTTTAACATTCTTGTTCTAAATATAACTTTTATTGCTATTAATCTGATGTTAAGTGGTAAATGTTTCTAAAACTGGGGGTGGGGTTTTTTATTTTGCAGGTTTTTTTGTACTTTGAAGATAGTAACACAGTAAATAACTGGACTTTAGCTTAAAAAGTGGGCTCTTCCATGATTTTCAAACTTGGGTTCTTGCTAGGCAGTTTTAGGAAGGAAGGGAAAGTCTGAATTAAATATTTTCTGGTGTAGAGTTTCTGTTGCTGAAATACGAATTTGGGTTCTGAATGACCCAAGTGAGAGTTTTTTCACAGTTTGTGAATGAATTTGGGTTATATAGCTCCCAGAAACTTGGTGAGTCTCACATTTTTGACTAGCCTGCATGAACAGCTTTGTTTTTGTCGCCAAGTATAAGGACTTGAGAATAGAAAGACCATTTAGTGGTTTCTGTACAGTGATACACGTGAAACTGTCCATGACTGAAGGAATTTAACAGACTGAAATCATACTGAGTGCCAGCCACTCTGGCCAAGGTTCATACCCTACATATGGATTATGGTGGATTGACAACTGGTGGTCAATTTCTAACACCCAGCTGAACTGAATCAGCATGGTGCTGGGGGAGGGAGCAGCTGAGGATTGTTGTCAGCAGAATAAGAGGCAAAACTGGAGAGGAAGAAGTTTAGGAAGCCGTTGGGAGCTGTTGGTTCTCCTAGAGGAGCTTGTCATGCTAGCTTTCCTGATACAAACTTGGCTGCTGTCATCGTCAGAGGAGCTCTGGACCATGTTGTCACTGAGAGTGGCTATGATTCACTTTCGGGGAGTTCTGGTCCTTACTTTGAGCATTGCTTCCTGGCTCCAGAGGGAAAGATAGTGCACTTTTCAGTCTCATGGAGAAGCTTGTTATACTGGCTTTCTTGATATGAACTCTACTGTTCTCATTGTCGGAGGAGCTGAGCACCTCACTGTTGCTGAGGATGGCTGTGGTACTTTTCAGGAAAGCTCTGAATGAGCTTTGCTTCTTGGCTCCAGTGCTGATCCCTCAGCCTGCTGGCACAGATCCTTCATCCCACTGGCACAGACTTTCTAGCTTCCACCGCTGACCTTGGGGCCTTCTTAGCACAGATCCTTGAAACAGGCTTGCATGAGACATTGTCGTGGGCTCCTGTTGGACTTGTAGAGGGCATTTTTATGGGCTCTAAGTCTTCAGCTGGACTCATGCAGGACCTCAGCTGGATTCTTTGGATCTTTAGTGTGTGGACAGATTTCCTGCTCTCTTTTGAACTTGACTCTTTAGGTGACTACTATAAAATAATCCTATAAATTATGTGTCCTGTATTGTTTCCCTTGCAAGCCCTGACTACAATATGGATTATGTCAAGGAAGATCAAGGACTGTATAATGTTGGGATTGGCCGTGGGGTTTTTGGACATCCTCTGAATTTTTACCTCCCCTTTAGTTAAGGAGAACTAAGCAATTGACATAAAACCCTTAAGTTAAGGACACCAGGTATGCTCATTTCTAATACGTGTATCTTTGTTAACAGCAAATTTAATTTACCCTGGTGAAAGGAACTAAAGTTATTTTCAGTAGTCTGTTCAGAAAAGCCACATACTTTAGGAAAAACAAGTTGCTATTGGGTAGAAATACAGATGCCCTATGGGAAGTGTGTTAACTCATTCATGGTATGACATTTACATATATGTTTCTGGAGCCTGTCTCACACCCTCTATCTTCTTTCCTGTATCTTTCCCCATTATTTTTCTCACTACTTGAGTACTCAAACAGTTCATTGCTGTCCAGTGTATACTTGCTTTCTGGCCCAGAGGGACAGGTAGTACTGTACCATATCACTAACTATACCTCCATCATCTTGTTTTACCCTAGGATCTAGCTTACTGCATTCCTTTTGCTGGCTCTTTTGTCACCCTTTACTCCATTTATAGTACTTGGAGAAATTTCATTTCACTGCTATGGGCTATATGTGTTTCTTATGGTGATAGTTAATGAAGTTTGCTTTATTTGAACAAAAGTGAATACACAAGTTTAAAGGTCTGTGGCCTCTTCAGGGACAACTGAGATGATAGGTAGTCAAAAAGTTGGTCCTAAACAGGCATGGATTCCTATGCCTTTGAGAAGTACAAGTTTTTTCAGGTAGACAGGCTCTTGAAGGTGCCATCGGTGCTCCAAAATATATTTTAAATGTGGCTTATAGTAGAAAAGGAGCTATTCTCAGAAACAAAAAATTCTTGCTCTTTCTCTACATTTAATTTGAGAAACTGAAGAGGAAAAGGAAGGTTGATGTTTTACAAATGGGAAGGGGACCAAGAGATGGAAGGAGAAATATGAAAGGGGAAGTAAAAAGAATTAATATGTGTTTGCACACATGTGCCAACTCCCCATAATGAATGCAGTCATTATATCCTACAAATATATACTTCTAAAAGTTTTTAAATTTTTTTTTTAAAAGAGTATGCTACTGTTACTAGGGCTGAGAATACTTCTCTATCATACACAAGGCCCTGGATTTGAGAGCTTGTTTGGAGGTTCTAGCAGGGGAGCACAGCTGCTCATATACCCTTGACCGAGGAACAGTCCTCCTCTCTCCAGGTTGGTTGTCCTCTTTGACCGAGTGTGCAGCTTTTGGAGGGACACACATGGAGCGGTGAGGGAGAAAGGGGACACCTGCGTAGCCAGCCAGATCAGCCAAATCAACCCTGGTGATCAATGGGGCAACAGATGTCGCGGCCAGATTGCCCTCACATCCAAGTCCCTGGATTTGATATCCAGCACTGCCAAAATAAAAAGGAATGTGCTGCTGTGCTGTGGGGTGAATACCTGATTTTCAGGAATGATACTACCTGGTATCAACTTGGGGTTTTTTGGGTTTTTATGGGATTTATTTTTGAAACTGTGACACATCTTTAATTCCATAGATATGTTCATAGCTGTGCCGTAAACATCTGTCAGACTGAATTATTATTGTTTTTGGTTTCTGAGGTATGCAACTATCTACACCATGTTTCCAGTGTTCTCTTTAGTGTTGGACCAAGACGTGAAGCCAGAAATGGCGATTCTGTACCCGGAGCTGTACAAGGACCTCACCAAGGTATGGCTACAGGACAGATTTCTGTCCAGTGATAATACATATCCTGCCATGGGACAAGGAGAAAACATATTTTGAAGCTTTTTTGAATAAATATTTCCTGTCTTCTCAGACCTTTTTTATTGCTCCTAAATAGTTTTGACATTCTCCTTTTGAGTTAAACTTCAAAGGGGTAAACATCTCAGAGAAAAACTTCTTTTTTGCAATAGAGGTCTCATATCATTCATAAAATTAGAATTTTATTTTTGTGAATTTAGCTGACAGATTTTCAAGTTTCCCAAATGGCTGAGAAGCACTCATGCTCATGTCTGTATGAAGTATGCTCGCTTGGTGTGTCTCTACTTGATTGGCATTGTTTCCCCACCAGAGGACCAGCTTTCTGTCCATGTGCTATAGAATGTAGCATTCCAAAAACTAGACATCCATGGAGACATTGACTAGTCATTGTCTGTGCATCCCCAATCTTCTCTCTAGTTGTTGGTTTCAGAATTACATTTGAAAAGTGATTATCTTTGCCTCTTCTTTGAGCTTTGTGACCCGTTGAGTGATACTGTAGAAAACAAGTCCACCCAGAAAACTCTTACTAACTTGGCACTATGGAAATGAACCACGCACTTGGCTTGGAGCTGTGCTCTGTTAAGAGTAAAATATTCCTAAAGGAGCTTTTGAGTTTGTGTTTCCATATAAAAGCATTTTTGAATATAAGCACAAATAGGAAGTAGAGAGAAAGAGAATCTTTCTGAAATAGGAAGGGGACTAAGGGAGAGAGAGAGTGGGAAAAGATGAAAAAAGAAATTAAGATACGTTGCACACATAAATCAGCTCTACGTAAGAAATATAAATACCATGTACTGCAAGCACGTACTAAAATCTCAACTTTTCGAGTACAAATTATGGAAACTTTCAAGTTTTCTACATAGCTGGCTTTTCCCCAGTCAACTCTGAGAACACATTCTACTAACACTCAGTTAAACTTAGGTTTATAGTTGATAACTGGATATTATTATCTCAGGTTTTTAAGGCTGTATCAATGTGATACAGTAAAAAAAAGATTAGAATAAGTGTCTTCAAGAGACTAGATGGTAGTCCAGCTGACCACTAACAAAATAGTCTGGTCCAGCTGACCACTAATAGACTAGACTCTAACCCAAGTAAGTAACCACTAACAGATTAGACTCTATTACAGCTAACTGTTAGCTGATCAGACTCTTAACCCAGTTACCAATAGCAGAATAGACTAGTCCAGTGAATCAGTAGCTAAGACCAGACTCTAGCCCAGTTGACCACTATTAACTAAGACTAGACTCTAATCTATCCAACTGCTGAAAGAACAGACTAATCAAACTACCACTAACAAATCAACTGACTAGTAACTAGCCAGAGATTTGCTTAGTGAATCATTTTACCTTTTGGATTGTATGGTATTAATGTAAGAGTCTGATGAAATAAAAACTTTAAAGTTCCTTAAAAAAAATACAAAATGCCCACATACTTCTATATTCAGGACAGATAACTCACCAATAATATAGTGTCTTGGTTACTTTTCTCTCATTACAGAGACAAAATACCCAATGCCCAAAATTAAGAAAAGAGAAGTTTAGGGGCTGGGAATTAACTCAGTGGCACAGCACCTGCCCAGCAAGCACAAGGTCATGAGTTTGATCCCCGGTACCAGAAAAAAAACAAAAACAAAAAAAAGAGAGAAAGGAGAGGTTTATTTAGCTCACTGTTTCTGGAGGTTTCAGTCCATACTCAGCTGGCTCCAAGGCAGGGTGGCATATGGCAGAGGGCAACAGTTCATGGTGGCAGAAGATAGCAAAAGCAACAAGAGCAAAAAGGGAGGAGCAGCAGAGAGCAGGACTCTTTCCCTCCCTTATATTGTATGCAAACTGTCTGCCCCAGGGCAGGTATAGCACTCACACCCATAAACCCAGCACTGGATTAATCAAAAACTCTGGAAGCCTGCTCCATGATTGCATGAGGCTTTGGGGGGTACATCTAGACACAAACGATAACATGTAGTAAGGTATCAACATCAAGCGTTGTTACCATGATGGTAACATCATTGGGACTATCAGGAGAGATTACCCGAAATTATGTATAACTAGGAAACTGCTTTTTCTCCTTAATATCCTAAAATTATGAAACCTTTTTGATGAAATAGGATCAGAGAGTCAAAAAACAGGAATTTATACAAATAGTTATAATTTTAGTAGCTTATATGCTCATTTTCAAAGATTCTACACATTTGCTTAACACTACCTCATAAATGGAAGGCAGAAACAAACTTTTCATTTAAGATTATAAAACCAGAGTACCTACCCTTAAGGCTGGATAATTGGTATCCAAGCAGAGTAGCAGTTACTGTAGGTCTTATCACCCCCTGGCATTGCTGCTGGGTCTCTGGGGTCAGAGGAAGTCTTGTGCAGCACTGTGATAACGGCAAGCAGTCTTAACCAAGGATAATTGGAAAGGGCTAGAACACGTGAGGACTTAGATTAAACCCACCAGCATATTCCTTTTGGATATCTGAATTAGTAATAAAAGAAGTCTATAGGGTTACAAGTGTCTGACAAAGTAGCTTATCTCTAGCTATACTGATGGAGTCAGTACTTGTCATTAGCTGGCTGCATTTAAACATGAGATATTGTGTGCAGTTCTGACTAAATTGCAGTCACAGAGGGTCTAAGGTTCCATTTTTGATAAGGTGATCAACAACTCGTCTTAAAGTAGGATACCTTTCCTACATGTTTTTTGACAAGAATTCAGGCATTCATTCTCTCTTCATTCCTTTTCTTCATGGTCCAAAAGTCTATAGTATTTATCTGTATAATATGTAATTCTTTAAAAATGTAGTACACTTTCAATCCTTCAAAATCAAGTAGCATGAAAGTGCCCCACTCTGAGTTATTTTTCTTATTAAAGCTAAAGAAGTATTCTGAAGCTTTTTATTCCTTCTGAACCCCTTGCCAAGCATCTGCATGGCCATTCTGTCTTGCGTGTATTCTCTGCACTCACCATGGCCAGAGGCTGGCCGTGCTAACCGAGGCTGCCAGTTAACATCAGGTACCCTGTGCCGTCTGCAGGAGACGTCATGTCAGGGCTGCAAGGACACAAGACATAATCCCTGCTCCTAGTAAACCTACATTTTATCAGAAAAAGAAAACTTTGAAGTTCTTGGTAAATTAAGTGATACTTAGGCAATGACATAAGACAGCAGCGTGAAGTAAGTCATAGACTGTAAGTAATTCTCCACTGATAATTTATTTGGAAAGTTCTGATCATTCATGTAAAGTAAATATATAACATGCCTTTGGAGGTCATCAAGGCAAGCAGAGGATATATCCCCTTGCACCTCCGAGGAGAACTACTATACTTTGCAATAAAATATCCTGGGTTTTTAATGTGTATCTAATAGTCATTTGTTTTAGTCCAAGAGTATAAGTAGTGCACGCATTTTCAGGGACAGAAGAGACCCTGAAATAGACCCACACACATTAGTGATCTTGACAAATGTAGGATGAAGTCAGTGTAGGAAGGATGATATCAACAGATGATGTCAGGACAGCTGCTCACCCCTGTGCAGCAGCAGAGCTCCAGCATATACCTCACTCTTTATACGTGGGGTACTCAAAACAGTTCACTGTCCTACATGTAAATTACAAACTTTCTGGAAAAAAATACAAGAGAAGACATACATGGCCATGGGTGGGTTGGGCAAAAAGCATTTTGTTGTTGTTTGTTTTGCAGTACTAGGGATTGAACCCTGGGCCTTCACATTGAGCTATATCCACAGCCCTTTTATTTATTATTTTTATTTTTTTTACTTGTTTTTATTTATTTATTCATTTTTGACCAGGATCTTGCTTAGTGCTAAGTTGCCCAGCCTGGGCTTGAGCTTGGAATCCTTCTGCTTCAGCCTCCCAGAGTGCAGGGATTGGGCAAAGAGTTTTTAGATGTGACATAAGATCAAAAGAATGATCCATAAAGGAAAAATCTGATAAAAGGGAAAAATTGTAAGTTTTAGTTTGTTATTGATACATTTAAGAAGATGAAAAGACAAGCTACAAACTGAGAAGATATTTGCAAGTTTTACTTCTAACAAAAGATTTATATCTTCAATATCTAAAGAACCCTTAAAATTCACCAAGAAAACAGCTTAGTTTTAAAAGTGAACAAAAACTGAGTTGACACCACACCAGAGATGATGTACAAACGTCAAATAAGCATAAGAAAAATGTTCAGTATCGTTTTTCTTTAGGGAATTGCAAATTTAGACAACAGTGACATACAGTACTACATACTATGAATGGTCAAAACCCATACCACTGTCTATATCTAAAGCTGCTGAGGATGTGAACCAGTAGGAGGTCTCATTTTGCTAATAGGAGTGTAGCAATACAGCCTCTCTGGAAGGCAGTTTGGCTATTTCTTATAAAGTTAAATGTATTTATTATGTTACCTACTACTAGGTATTTACCTAACAGAAATGAAAACTTATGATCATAAAAATCCTATACACAATATTTATGGCAGCTTTGCTATAACTGCCAAAAAGCAGAAGCAACTAAATGTTCTTAAACCAGCAAATGTTTAAGCACTCCAGTGAGTGTCAATAGCAATGAAGATGCCGATGTGCAGGGAAATAGTGTTCAAAGGAAGCAATAATAAAAGCCTATGGATTTGTACAACATGCATGGAATGCATTTTTCTGTATGGAGTTCCAGATTCCCAAAGTTTGTCTGATTGTGTTTACTTGAGACCTGGAAAATGCAGAGCCATAGTGCAGAGAACAGATCAGTGGTTGCCAAAGGTTTAAGGAGGGAGGGGTGACCAATAGGAGCTGTTGTGTCTGGTCCTGTGGTGTGTTTGACTATGTGTTAGAAGCCCTAGGACCATGCACCAGAGGGAACAGTGGAACACAGACTGATGGATAAATTGTCACCAAAAAAGGTACTACAGAGAACTGTACACAACCTGAAGGCTCCCTGTGGTAAATGTGTTTCTCACACGGGAATCTTTTGTGTCCTTATATGGAACAAACAAGTATAAAAATGTCGGTGGTGAGGATAGGCCTCTTACTATTGGAGACATAGGCACAGATAAGGGCTAGATAAGAGTCAGGGCTCACAGTTTTGTTTAGTACACACAGAGACAGTAGCAATTATAGATGTGTATAACTGTGGCTTACTAAACATGTGCACACATACTAAACTTGTGTCAGCTTGAGTGACTAGAAGCAGGCAACTGTGGCCATGAGCACCCCTGGGACCCCAAACTCCAGGTAGAGGAGGTGCATTGTTCTCTGCCCAGTAAAACCAGGCTTCCAAAGAAGGGGCTGGACAGGGAAAATACAGGCCTGGAGCACCTAATGGAAAGTTAGCAATGATGATGTTCAAGTAGCACAGGAGTCAACCTGAGGGAACTCCAGTAGCTTAAATTGGATCAAATCAGAAACAGATGATCTTATTAGATTGTAAACAAAGAGTAAAATAAACAATATTAAATTTTTACTAATATAAAGAGAGAGAACCCTTCCTTGTTGAAGAATTCCAACTACTGATGTGAAGGAGTGAGAAACAGAGGCACCTTCAGAAACCCCCAGGAATTGTCAGCGGGTTGTGTAGGTTGGTGCTGAACTTAGTGGGCAAAAGACAGACGAGAAACAGAATATTTGCATCAGCTGGCAGTATCTAAATATCTAAGATGTTTACTAATTGCAAAGAGAAAAAACAGCTGTTTCACAGTGCATACCCGCCCCCCCACAACAGGACACCACAGCAGCCAAGCACCAACGTTCACATCCCAGTCACAGGCAGATGGACACCACACCCTCCCATCCTGGAGGCCTTTGGAGAATAGACATGCCCTCTGCGATGTCCTTCCCAATTGTTTCATCCTTAAAAGGCTTCATCCAAGCCCACATTAAAGAGCATTCCACAAATCACTGACCTGTGGCTAGAAGTGTCCTAGTAAAGATGAAGAACTGGCCTGATGACAGGAGCTGGGACATGGGATGGCTACAGCAGCAAAGCATCCTGCTTGGGAATCTGGAACAGAATAGGGCATCATGAAAATTGAGGGCATCCAAATAGTGTAGCCAGCACTAGAAATGCACACTCATTTTCTAGTGCAAACGGTGGTATGTGTCTCTATATGTAGCAGCCTCCAACAAGGGTGGAGAAGGGCCTGTGGAAACTGTATTTCTGCTCTTTCAATTCTGCTGGTAGTCTAAAATGATCTTTAAAAAGGTGGGTTTTTTTGTTTTTTTTTTGTTGGGGGGGTGGTTTGGGTTTTTTTCCAGTACCAGGAATCGAACTCACGATGTTGCGCTTGCCAGGCAGGCACTATGCCGCTGAGCTAAATCCCCAGCCCCTAAAAAGGTTTTAAATGGCCAAACCCAGGGTAGTTTTAAGGGCTAATGAATAGTGTCTTGCAAAACTGTAGTTTTGAGGTTTTGAGACAGCATGTCTGCTCTTAACCTTCACTTGGATGCACCTAGGGCAGGTGAAAGTCAGATTGCTTGCTATCTGGTTTCTAGTTCTTATCTACTCTGTTAAGAAATATTCTGTCACATGTCATAGTGACCAATTACTTCACAAGATCTCTTTATGTAACATCAGCCATACCCCTCTGCTCAGGAGATTTGTTCTTTGGTTTGATTTATTCCTTTGGTTTCTTTTTTATTTTTCACTTTTAATTGCCTCTGTGATATTTTTACTCCAGATTTCCCCAAATTATTGTAATCATGGAAATATGAGTAAAGCAATCTTACCTGTTATTCTAGGAGGAATCAGAGAAGGTAAACTGAGTTGGGGTGAAAAATAAAATAAAATAAAATAATGAGAAAAGTGGTTACAAACACAAGATAGAGGGAATCCTAATGTTTCTAAGTAGTTAGGATATTCCTCTGCTGGTCATCTACTGAGTAACAAATGTACTCATACATAAGCATATACCCATCAGTCTACTTGTCCTTGTAATCTATACATGTGCGTAGCATGACTAATCTGCTCATGTATAATCATATGTGTATATATATCCCTGTGCACATCACTAATATGCATATATTTTACGTACAATATGGCACACATTGCTTGTGTATAATCATATACATGTCAATGCATGTCAATGTAATCTATGCATATATTACACACAGCCAGACTCTACTTGTATATAATCATACACACATCAATTTGCATGTCAGTATAATGTATATGTTACCCACATCATTCTACTTAATGCTGTCATACTAGTGATTTTACTCATTTTAAGCTTGTGTGATTTATTTCACTAGCATTATGGTTCTGAGGTACAACTGTTTACCTAAAAATGACTCAAATTTATACCATATTTTCTTTATCCATTTATCTGCTGATGGGCACATGCGCTGTTTCCAAGATTTAGCTATTATAAATCATGCTTTTTAAAATATGGGTGTGTGGATACTACTGTGGTATGATGCTTTTAACGCTTTGGGGAAGATAACCTAAAAGGAGTGCAGCTGGATCAAATAAAACCTCTGGTTTTAGGTTTTTGAGGTAATTTTACTCATCTTAAAGTGGATTAATCTCTTAAAATACTTGATTTTATTTTTTACATTTTTGGTTGATATATAACCAAGATGTACCTTCTGAAGTCTATAATATCCAGTTGGTAATATAATCCCAATAGCATTGTTGAATATACCATGTTTTTTAGTTTCTATATATTTCATTTCATGGCTTATTTTATGTATATAAGCTGCATACCATTATTATTTCTGCTTCACAAAAGAAGAATCTGAGGCACACAAATTAAGACACCCAAGAACACAGCAGGTAGGGTGTGATAGGCAGGGCTGAAAGCTTGAAGTCTGTGTCCTGAGCTCATGTGCTCATGCCCACGCCTGCTGCCTACTAAATCAGTGTTTGGTGCATGAAAGAGTGAACGAGTGAACCCATCCATCAGAGCATAAGACATTTTCTTCCTTTTCCTGAAAACATGAAAAGTTGTGGGTCCAAGAATATCTTTATATGTAGCCTGAAATCTGCAGTAAATCCATAATAAATTAACTGTTTCCTTGAATAATGTATTTGTACCATCCAATATAATGAGGTTTTGTAAAGTCAGAATAATCAGTAAGCATCCACATCAAGAAACAAAAGGTTTATGCATATTTTCCTCAAATCGCTTATTTTATTGATGGTTTTTTTCCTGTTCTCTTGAGTTTTCTTTTATTACTATACAACAATAAATACAGAAGTACTCATATACATGCATATTTGATGTACTATCTTAAACATCTTTTGATAAGCTTGCATAAATACCCTCATTTAACTTTCCAAGTACTGATTGATAATTACCTCACATAAATAATTGGAATGCATTTTGGAAAATCTGGATACAAAGTAAACCTCTTATTTCTTATATCAAAAGGTTAAGTTTCTTTTTGAGTGCAAGTAAAATTAGGCATATAATTATAAATGAATTTTATGACCAAAGATGAAACACCACAAGGGTCCAGTCAGACAAATGCAGTCGGGAAATAGGTGCTAAGGAAACCTACTTAGAATAAGTCAGTATTTAAATTTAAAAATCAATATTGACTTTTAATAAATTGTAATATATTTGAATCTTCCTACACTCACATGTGGTAAAGACTCAGGTTCAGTTGTCCTCACAGATGAACACTTGTAACCAAGAAAATATTTAAGTAGAAGTAGAACTCTGTCTTTTATAATCGAGCTACAGTTGCAGAGTTACAATTCATACACCCACTCTTCGTTAGCTTCTGCAGGACCACAGCCAGAGTTTCTGTTCAGCACACATGTCTTCCATCCAAGCATTTTTATCTGTAAAATCCTCAACAGCCTCCAAGTGGATGCATGATTCAGATCTAGACTTGTTCCCATCGTGTGTCTCTGTTGTGTCTTCTAGTATTCCCTGGCCTCCATGATGTGCTTCTTTCCTTGGTGGCATTTTCTATCCACAATCATCACAAGAAATGCCCCTGTGTGGGTAGGGAAACCCCAAATCAAATGTAGAACTTTGGGCTCTGATCAGTTATACCAGAGTGCCGGAAACCTGCAGTAGGAGCCTGAGGAAATCTGTAGGCTTCATGGGTTTCTTCATCTGTAAATAAAAGTGCCTAAGTGAGACATTACACTACCAAGAATAGGGATGCCAAAACAACAGATGATCACAAAGATCTGCACAGAGACCAGGTTCTGATGGTCTAAGTTGGGCCTGCCCTAATGCCCATTGCTAAAGGTCCTATCAAAGTAGAGGCAGTAGGTGCATGATCTGCTCTCCTCCTTGTGTTGAAATACCTTCAGCAGCACAGTTAAACAAAAGCAACCTTTGACCAGGATCTTTTGTCTCTGACCCATCCCACAAAACCTGTGTTCAGTTTAAAACAGTGAATTATTGCACAAGAAACCTCGCAGGGGAGGGAGTACTTACAAGCCAGCTTTTCCAGAAAGGATTTAAGGGACCAGTTGAGATAGGTTGCTTGTACCTACTGAAGAGCTGTCACATTTTTTTTATCTGAAGAAACTAAAAAGTAGATGTAAGAATATTTATTCCCAAGAAAAAGAAATAAAGGGGAATTTTTATTATAGTCTTTATCTCCTAGTTCATTTAAATGTTTATCTGTAGCTGTCAACTTCTTGGTTGCTAGGAAGCAGGAGAACATATCTCTGTGGCTTAGGAATCATGTAGATCAGAGAGGACATACCAGAACCCCATCAACCTCAGGAGATCAGTAGAGCTTGTGACATCCACAGAGGCAGCTTTGGAAGGCACAGGTATATGGAGGGGCAGGTTCACCCGAGGTGCCCCCTGGAAGATGAGGTCAGGACAACATATGTGGTGGGTCTGGGGACCTGGGGCCTTTGATAAGCTCCCCATTCCTCATTCCTTGGAAACATGCAAGCCAAGCATGCCACTCTACTTGTTTAACAAACTTTTTCCTCCATTTACCCTAGGGAAGATCCTTATCCTTCAAGACCTTCTTCATCTGGGTTCTAATCAGCATTTATCAAGGTAAGACAGGACCTGATTTTACTGGACCAAAGAAGTATTTTTTGGTCTTCTAGCAGTATTGTTTTTACTGCAAAGTTAAATTCCAATCACTTAAAATTTCATCAGCAGTTAAATGTTGCCTTTGTTAATCTTGTAAATTGATACTCCAGCAATGTGGATTGATACTTTTTAAATTATGTATGTCAGCTAAAAAACTGACCTATTTCTAATTAAATATTGACCCAGAGAATTTTAACAACCACTTTTTATATTGTGTCCTGCAAAATTGTTTTCATACCTGGAGTGATGCTACTAAGGCTCTGAGAAGTCTGAATTATGTAACTGAAGTCCTTGGCCACTCTGTTGGTGTTCTAGGTTAAGTGAAAGGTTCTCGTAAGTGTAGTTAGCTGCAGATGAGGTAGGTTACATGAGATAGTGAAAGGAATCATTCACACCAATTGAAGTGCAGGTGTGGCTTCTACTTGACATTTCTAAATGAGCGAGAGAGTGCCATACCTTATTTCACCCATAATCCCGAGTTTAGCTGGATTGTCTGACTGCATATGGGGTATGTGTGTGTACCTGGGCCTGTGTTTTAGCTGTTGTGAAGGAGTTAGCTATTTCCATGATCATTTTCATGGTATGACTGCAAAGTGATCCAGCTTCAAGCCAGGCAGAAGAAGCTGTCCTTTAAAGGCCACTCTGCCACTGTCTTCCAGGAGGCATTCTCATGTATGGAGCCCTGGTGCTCTTTGAGTCAGAGTTCGTCCACGTCGTGGCCATCTCCTTCACTGCACTGGTCCTGACTGAGCTGCTCATGGTGGCACTGACCATCAGGACATGGCACTGGCTGATGGTCATGGCGGAGTTCCTCAGTCTAGGCTGCTATGTGACCTCACTCGCTTTTCTAAATGAATATTTTGGTAAGTGTCTTAAAATTATTTTTTGAATCATTGTTAGTGGCTTTTAAACAATTTGTTATTGTTACTGTGTAAAACATCATGAATTGCAGAATACAAGAAAATGCATACCATAAAGTTTCACAACACAAAAATTTACTTTTGTGGAAAGGTAAAATTCCTGGCAGTAATTCATCAAGTTAAGATTTTCACCATCTTGGCTTTTTAAGACATTAAAGTTGTGTTTATGTCCAATTGCTCTTGCCCTAAGAGTTGTGCTGTTTGTCATTATTTTCATGACCCAACCCAGTAGCTACTCTAAGGCAGACACTTTCCACAAACCACACACTCTACTCCCTCCCTTAAGTGCACAGGTCCCAGAATGCAACTCAACTAGGCAGTTATTAGTGATACCAGTGTCAGGATAGCCTCAGCTCTGTCTTCCAGTTACCTCCAGTGCTGGCTGTGTTCCTCAAGCCCAGCTCAGCCTACTGTGACTTGCTAGGGGCCTTGGAACAGTGGATTGGCCTCCCTGAGCCCTGTTTCTGAGTCTGAGGTCCTACCTAAGGAGTGCTAGACAGGTATTAGATACTCTACAAATCTATGATTCTTGTCACCAGCATGCCCTTTGTTACTGTTCTCTATAAATTGAGAGAGAATGTCAGAGGAGCCCAGAATGCCACACTTCTCTCTGATCAATCATTCTGCCTTTCTCCAGTGATACAGGTTCCCTAGAAATGGGCTGGAGGCCTACCACAATCTTTAGAACCATTCCTCCTGAATGAAATGAGCCATCAAAATCAACCTGGTGTTGGTTTGCTTGGGCCAGATCCCTATGTGTGCATCTACAGTTCTCTGTGCCCTCCATCCCCATGACTTCTACCACCCCCTTGCTGGTCCATTCCTACTGACCCACTTTGTCATGTAAATTCATCTCTTCTTCCCCAAATCTCAGGTTTTTTCCAGCCAGAAGTTGAAAAGATGAAAGCAATTTCATCTGTCAGTGAGATCCCTGGATCACCCCTATATTTGTTAATGTGGCTAAGAAGAGTAAATATGATTCTTTTGTAAGATTTTCTTAAATGAGGGCAATGACATTCACTCAGATGAGGATCATTTAGCATAAGGCCTCCCTTGGTCCTCAGAGCATGACCAAGTCTCTTATCTCCTAGGGCCAAAGCAGAAGGGTGGGATGATGGTCACTGTATGCGTGGTGCGTAGTAGAACATAATCTGAAAGATACCCTGAGAGCGTCAAGATGGTGGCCTTCCTGTATGAGCACTAAGCTGGTGCTCTTTTTAGTATGAGAACAGCTCCAAGTTTTTAAAAAGGGGGAAAAAATTGTACCCTGATGTGTTCTCTACACCCATATGAATAGCAGGAAACATCATCTTAGGTAATTGTTATGGTGAGTCAGCCACACATTTATCCCTGTGTACTGTGACTTCTGAGTGGCTAGTGTACTAAAGTTTGCAAATAGATGTGAGCACAAAGCCACTCCACACACGATGAGTTAACCCAGCAATGGGTGAGTGCACTCAGGTTGCATCCCACTCTTACCGTACCACTCAGTGTGTATATAGTGCAGAGTATATACATAGGAAAAATTAAAAGTCCATGTTTTATATTAAACATTGACCAAGGGCTGGGGATATAGCTCAGCGGCACAAGCACCTGCCTGGCAAGTTCAAGGTCCTGAGTTTGATTTCCAGTACCAAAAGAAAAAAAAAAAATTTTCACCAAAAAATATGGATCTATGGCATGTAAGAAAAAAAGGAGGGGGCCTGTTTCAAATTAGAGCATCTTAGTTATTTTTGCTTGAAGAATAAGCACTGACTATATTTTCCTATATAATCGTGATTAATGCACTTAGATGTGGAGAAATGTTTTATTTTTATGGCACTTCATTTTAATAGCATTTCCCTCATTTGACAATATAAACAGAATACAAAGCAAAATACTGAAATTAGAAAAACAAACTGTAGTAGCTAATGCTATATGAGCAAATATAAAACTGACTTTATAAACAGGAGGTATAAAAGTGGCAGACAAACCCAGCCATGTGAATTGGGCAGAACTGTTCCCTCTGTGAGCCTCAGTATTACTCATCCAGGCTGAAGATGGTACCAGCCCCTTCTAAGGCCAGGTCTAGAGATGAGCAGCAGAGTGTTTAAGTATGTACGAGTAGGTCACAGAGCCTTAGTGTCCAAGCATGGCGAACACTCAGGTGTGAGCTGTGTTCTGAGAGGCACCCTTTTCAGATGTTCAGATCCAGACCCAGTAGGGCATGCCTGAATGTTTCTTTTAAGAAAAATAATTAATTAATTAAATCATGTTTAAAAGACTATATTGTTCAGAACATAATGCATGCTTGTGTTTGGTGGTCTGAGCAACTGATTGGAAGGTAGCAAAATGCACCAGAATTACAATGGTGAACTCCTACCATCTTGTCTAATGATACTCAGTATTATCTCTTAATGTTTTATCGAAGAATTATTTTCTTATTCTCTTTAATGGTTTGAGCAATCTTTCATTCTTACATCTGGTAATCTGAGTAATGTAGTTGAGGGTAGCGATATGGAATGTAACAACCACTGTTGATTCGTATTATTTTTCTTTAGACCCAGTATCACTTTGAATGTTCTTGCTCTGATTTGTTTATGTTTGTGATACTGGTATGCTGCTACTGTTCTGTTTTTTTTCTCATTTACTACTCTCTTTAAAATAAAAAAAAAAAAAGACTATATTGTAACAGGTAATAAAGTGAAGGGGTTAAAACCACAATCACAAATACATTTCATGCTGGTATTCTTATTGCTTTTTAATGTTTTTCTTTCATTGGTAGCTAACCACTACAAATGTCCTGATATGTCCTTTTATCTGTCCTTCATTTTCTTGTTCCTGTTTTGTCTTGGAACAGGTATAGGCAGAGTATCTTTTGGAGCTTTCTTAGGTAGGTGAAGTTATCATTTCTTTCATGAGTATAGAAAATTTAAAAGCCAGAAAAAAAGAGTAAAGAAAATCAGCAAAACAAAATTGATAAAGATGCTTCAGTAATTAAAAAAAAAAAAAACTATCCTGTGTCACTTCTGTGATGTCATGTAAGCCCTGCATGTAAGTTTCCCTGCCTGGATCCAGGAGTGCCTCATAATGGAAGAGGGATGAGACCCAGGCTATTTTCCCTCCCTAAAATAGTCTTAGTGACAGAGCTCCTGATAAAACACTTCCAAGGGCCGGGGATGTAACTCAGCGGCATGGCATCTGCCCGGTAAGCACAAAGTCCTGAGTTTGATTCCCGATTCTGAGAAAAAAAAAGAGGAAAATACTTCCAGAGTTTCTCAATGCAGGTTAACCTAGCCTGTGACTTTTCCTTTATGATCTCCAATCTCCTGTGCAGGGAACAGTTGCTTTCTCCACATCCCTTATTTTTATAAAAGTCTATAAGTCCTAGTAGGTAGGTTTTTTTTATCCCAGTTTCTTACAACAGTCTACAGTGATTTCTGCAATATGTATAATTGAACTATACAAACATCAGGTTTTCCAAATGCCTCTTTTCATGAGGACTCTAAATAGCCGTTGTTTCTAGCACAGCTTTGATAGGGTGCTAAGCAATCTTTCCATAGTAACTAGGAGAATGTTCCAACAGCCACACTGAAAAGCACTGAAGAACAGACACATATGATCCTTGTGTCCAGGCAGGGTGCTGCCATTTGCCTTCCAAGCCCTATAAAGACAACTGCACCTTAATACTGGCCTGGACAGCCTGGGCAGAGCAAAGTGTGGTTAGCTGATGTCCTCCCATGAGCAGCACAGCAGTGTTTTGCAAATCCTATTTTAAAAGTGCTGTCTATCTGTTAATAAGTATGTGGAGATACTAACCATGCTCTAATTCTGTACTCTGGTTCCATTTGAGAAGAGCCAGCTGCACCAGGATGCAGGTAAAGCAGTATGGCAGTGAAGACACCAGGAGGCTGAATCAGGCTGCCTGTGCAAATGCATGGCAGAGCTGCAGGGGACAGCCTGAGGGAGTCTTGGGGATCCAGTCAGGTCTGCACTGTGGTTTGGGGGCCTGGGAGCTGCTTGGTTGGCTTTCACACTCTGTACCTCTTTCTGACAGATATTGCCTTCATCACAACCGTGACCTTCTTGTGGAAAGTGTCAGCGATCACTGTGGTCAGCTGCCTCCCACTCTACGTCCTCAAGTATTTGAAGCGCAAGCTTTCTCCTCCCAGCTACTCCAAGCTGACCTCCTGAGGGCCAGCATCTGCTGCAGGACTGGACCAGTCCCTCTGGCATCTCCAGGGAACACAGCATCTGTACCTTGTTCCTGAGGCAGGACTCGAGCCTGGGTGGAGACCCTCCTGCACTAGACACCATGGAAGACAGGGTGCTCTATCAGGGGTAGGGAGCTGCCCACATCCAGGCTTTTCTCTCCAGTGTCCAGGCTGAGGCAGTGTGAGCTACCACCAAAACAGGGTTGAATTCCTTCACTTCTGCTGTGAGGGTTTTACTTTCTGAGAATTGAAAGTTTAATTTCTGCAGTTCCAGCATCTAAATTCTTTCTTTGACAATGTCATATCAAAAGCATTCATACTTGAACAATAAAGTCTAGACACTGGAGCTGCCTCATCTGCACACACCACTGCCCATCTTCTGCACACACCACTGCTGCTCTCTTCTTTAGATGCCCATCTTGCTTTCCTGCGGACACTCACCTAGAGTGTGCTCCTTACATACGCAGGCCCAGGTGACCAAATGGTAACATTTCTGGACATAATTCCATTGCACCTACAAATATAAATCATTCCTCAAAGGCATTGCTGTTAGGGAATGTGTTTTTTTAAATTCCCATCCTTTTATATTTGTATAAATCACACCCCCAAATAATTTCTGTATGTAGAAATCAGTTGCCTGTGAAACACATCACTAAAGATGTATCGCTTGCTATGTTCACGGGTGTACTTAGTGTGTGTGGTTATAAATATGCGCAGCACACCTAGGTGATATTAGGATAGAAAAGCCCCATCTTTGAGGCTGCACTGAGGTGGTCTGTGAGCAGGTGGCTTGGGTTGGTCAGGCTGGGAGTCTTTAAAGCCAGGGCTGTTGTCTTTCCTGTTTACCATGCTGTGGGGTTTGGTCGACTGGGTGTAGCGTGTGTCGTTCTCCAGAGTTCTCAGTGAGCCCGTCAGTGAGGAGCTGGTCAAACCCCAGCCTCTGGGCTGGAGGAGAACCTTTCACATGATCTGAAGCAGCCTCTCACAGGCCTTTTTGCACTAGGCTTTGTGTGACCTTGTTCTTTGGCTTGATTTCCCCTTGAATGTAGTCCCTGTTGCCCCAGAATCCTTGGGGAAGTCCATGCTCCGTGAGTAAAGACCCCAAGGAACTTCCCTGACAAGCCATGGGTCTGTCACCACTGTCCACCGAGGCTCCCATCAGCTGCTTCCTTTCAAAGGAGAAATGCATCAGCCACGATAAAGCTTCACTTCTTCCCACACAATTTTCAGTGCCTTTTGACTTGAATGCCTTTAGCAGGTTATCTTTCCACGGCTTGAGCATTCCCAATTCCCAGACAGACATATAACCAGAGCGCTGTTTCTTGTATTCGCCACAAGGTGTCAGTATTTTTTTGTCATTTTGCCCAGGAACCTTTGGTCATATGGGTTCACCTGCCAGCTTTCCTCTAAGAGAAACTAGAGGATTTGGATCCATCAGTGTCTTCTTCCCTTCTTTTGGCAAAGTTTGAATAGGAGGCATTGGATTCACAGAATTGCCAACAGTTCATAAGATGAGACTGTATCGTATCGCTCAGGGCTGTGGGGTACAGAATACCAAGGATACATCAGACACTCACTCTTGTGCTTTTTTAAAATAAAGCAGCCACATTGCAAGCTGACCCAGTACTCGAAGTGCTGAGGCAGGAGGATCATCACAAGTTCAGTGCCAGCCTGGCTACATAGCGAGTTCGGGATCAGCCTAAACTACATAAAGAGTGCCTGTCTCCAAAAAAAGTAATTTTGACATGATCATAATAAGTTGCACACAGTCTCAGAAAAACTACCACAAACCACAACCTGAAAATGTAGAAGCTTTCGTGAGCCTTAGATTAATTGGATACAAATTAGGAGGAACAGTCAAACATTAGGCTCTAGGAGTTAAGACTGGGAGTCCAAGTTAGAGACTGTAAGAAGCCAATGTGGTGCTCATCTGTGAACCAAAAATAATCACCACAGGATGTCGCTGTTCAGGTCAGATAAGGCAGTAGATGGGAAGGAGGCTCCAAATAGATGCCTGGCACACAGTGACTCCAAAGGCATCTGTAATGTTGGTTTTTGCTAGATTGAAGAAAATAATCACATAATAAAGTATCATTGAATCTGGAGCAGCCCAGGCTTATGAACAGCCTCAAAAGAAGGAAATGGTGCCCTGGAATTGGACAAGGAGAGCTGCCACACAGGGCAATCAAGCATTCTCCCTGGCTTGTGGAGTAACTTGAGTGTGTTAATACATCCAAGCTGTAGAGCTGTGTCAGGTCAGAAACTCTGACAGCTGGTCTGCTTACACACTCTACCCAACCACCCCAGGGCTTCAGAAGGACTGCTTGTCAGTGTTGGTGTCTGAGAAGAACATTTGGAATCCAGGAATCAACTTTGACCTTTCCTGTTCATTGGAAGCTTCTCTGTGAGAAAGGAGACCACTCTTTTATTCGGTCACAGATGTCTACTGGGTGTTTACAGTGCGTGTAGGAACATCATAGACACAGTCCTACCTGTGGAAACAAGCTATGTGACATGGAGATGAGTGCATAGGGAACTGGCAGAACCAACAACCCAGGGGAGACTCCTCAGAGAGGTAGGGTAGAAGCTGATACCAAAGCAGTAAGGAACCACCATGCAGAGATGATGCAGGTGGGGATGTGGTGGGGGCAGAGTGCCACCTGGTCAGGCAGAATCAGCAGGTAGGTGATGGCAGGGAGGGAGGCAGAGATGGGGGGTTGATTAGTAAGTGGATAAATGTGTGTAAACAGGTGGATAGGTGCGTGGCTGCATAATCAGATGAGTGGATGACTTTCTGTTCTCCATCACCTTGTACTGTTCTAAGGTAGTGGCCATCAGGCCTTTTTTTGCAATATTTCTGCATCAGAGAGGGCTACACTGTTCCTATATCCTGTGATGCCAGAACAGATTGCAGAAGTGGCTGTTTGTTTCTTCCTCTACTTGTTAGAACCCAACAAAGGAACTTTAAGGGAAAGGTCCCTTCTAGGACAGTAATGGGCAGGCCCAGGCCCCTTCTGGCTCGTTGCTGCACCTCTGAGGCTCAGGGAACTGTGCAGGTGCAGCATCAGAGCATCGTGTCCACATTGTCATCTGTGAGAAGACCACTTCTCTAAGTGTACAAAATGCTTCAACCAGAAGGCTGATTGTCATCCTGGATAAAAATCAGAACTAACCACACTGTTGTCATAGTGGGCTGATAGCAGAAGGATGGGACAGATACTGTGTGCAAACGGAGAAGCATCGCAGAGCCAGGTGGCCATGACATCATTCAAAATAGACTTCACACCATGTTACTGAAAAGGTGGGAAGAGCGTTAGTGAAGTAAGGGGTGAATATGTCAGTAGGAACTACTCTGGACCTAGTCAGCCAGTCACCACAGCATGCCTGGCATCTTTAACACCCTGCAGTAACCAGTAGAACCAACCACATAGAAACCCAGGGGACAACTGCCCCTCAAGGCGCTGCAGGTGTGGCTGCTGTGTCACATCTGCGTCACTAGGTGGCAGAGAGAATCGAGGCTATGTCTACACTCAGTGTTCTGACCCCTGAATGCCTGAATGATTAGTAGCCTGACACGGACAGAGCCATTGCAGGGTGCCATGTGCTTGCCAGCCACCTGGGGAGCCTGGTGAGTGAGGCCACCTTCTACTGATGATCCTCAGTCACCTGAGGGTCTTGCAGTCCCACAGCAGGAGACGGGGGATAGTTCACTGCCTACGGGGACGGGGTTTGTTAAGTTGCCTCCTTGAAAACCATAGAAAGTAGTGCCTCCCCTCTTTTTGAGACAGGGTCTCACTATTTAGCTCAGACTGGCCTTAAACTCATGGTAATCCCACCTCAGCCTCCTGAGTGCTGGGATTACAGGCCTATACCGCCATGCCCGGCTAGATGCATGGTCAACACCTAACAGTTGTACCAGCTTCCAAGGTGCAAGGATGCAAAGAAGCAGCTTTTTAAAATCCCAGGGCCTTATTCCCGACGCAGTAGCACACAGTAGTCCCAGAACTGGGTAGCTGAGGCAGAAGGATCATAAGCTCAAACCCAGCCTAGACAATTTAGACCTTGTCTCAAATTTTAAAATACCACTGGGGCTCGCTTCATGCCTCGTATGCACCCGGAGGGAGGCCTCCGGCACACGGGGAGCCACGGGCGGGGAGCGCTGATCTTCCGACTGGCTCGCTTCCTGCCTCGTAGGCCCCCGGAGGGAGGGCCTCCAGCACATGGGGAGCCATGGGCGGGGAGTGCCATTCTTCCAGCTGGCTTGCTTCCTGCCTCGTAGGCGCCCGGAGGGAGGCCTCCGGCACACGGGAAGCCACGGGCAGGGAGCACCAGTCTTCTGGCTGGTTCGCTTCCTGCCTCATAGGTGCCCGGAAGGAGGGCCCCCAGTGCAGGGGAAGGCACGCGGCAGTGAGCACTGTTGCATGCCGGCCCTCAGGCCAGCCACCACCGCTTAATTGAGAACTACCATGACACAAAGAAACAATGACACACTGGCCCACCATGCACTGGCTGCAGATACCCACCCATGGACGTGTGTGAACCATTCAAACATGGAGAAACCCCTGGGAATACGTGCCATACAACGGGCCACTCTTGCTCCTGCCATTGAGAACCAGAAAGATCCAGAGTCACTGGAGAAGCAGCTGCTGAACAAGGACTCGGAGAACATGAGAATGCAGACTTAAGCCTGAGGAGTCAGAGGTCCTGTGGACTGGGGTTATGAGAGCCGCTCGGAAGCTGTAAACCAGGAGGACCTTGCACAATACCTGCGGAGACTCCCTGGAAGCCATTCTTCCCCTGACAGTACAGGCTGTGGTGGAGCTCCAGAGAAGTCTGCAGCAGGATTCCTGCTGCCTGTGCTGACATTTGGGGAGAGGACACTAATTGGTTGTGGGGTCCCAATGCGATGGGAGGCTGGAGAGAAAATGCTACAAAAATGGCTTTCACCCCAGATGGCTCACTTGATTTTTGACAACCCTTAGGCTGTAACTACTTGTTAGATCCTTCTTGCATATCTCTGTCTTCCTGAGAAATCACTTCGAAGATACCACCATGTATTACAGCAGCCATTGATATTTTCCTACTAATCTATCCATAACTCTCCAATGTTTGTATTGTTCCTATCCTATTTCATAAATGGATGCATGTCTATCATTATGTGTTCCCTATAACAACCATTAAGAAAAGTTAATGATTATTCAATAGGTCACTCATGTATAGCTCTATTTATTTTCTTTAGAAGCCACTTTGAAGATACCAAAGTATAGTACAAGAACTATGGATAATCTCCTACCTCTTTTGTCTGTAACTCATTATTGTCTATTTGTTTTCCTGAAAAACTATCTTGTAGATAACAATATGTGAAACAATAACCATTGATAATTTCCTACCACTTTGTCTGTAATTTGGTAAGCCCCCGCCCATTATTATGTTATCCTTCTTTTACTCTTTATTTTTTTTGGGGGGGGGGGTTGTTTTTTTTTTTTTTTTTTTTTTTTTTTTTTCTCCGGTACCGGGAACCGAACTCACAACCTTGTGCTTGCCAGGCAGGCGCTTTTGCTGCTGAGCTAAATCCCCAGCCCCTCTTTTACTCTTTAAAATAAAAAAAAAAAAAAAAAAGAAACCCAGGGGACAGAGAAGTCAGGGTGATGCCTGACTGCAGAGCCTTGCACACTGCAA